TCGGAAACCTTACTAAAATTGAGAACTGTACATCCACTGCCCTCCCTTTACACTCATTCTTAAATTTGTATAAATCCTTGAAGCCAGGGAATGAGGTGAAGGGAGCCGGGCTCTCCTCAGTAGCGCGCGTTTGCAGGACAAGAGGCCTTGGGCACAAGTGAGAAAGGATGGAATTCCACGGGCAAAAGCAGCAAGTCTTGCTCAGTGTGAGCGTGGTCAAGGAGTGGAAGAGGCTCCATCCTGGGAGATACTGAAAATGTGAGCGGCCGTGGAACCCGGACAACCTGCTGCAGCTGTCCCTGCTTGCGCAGAGGGAGTAGAAGCACCTGCTCTCCAGAGGTTCCTGCCAAAGTAATGATCTCGTGATTCTGTTTGCTGGGAGAGCTGGAGAGTAATGCTGTGGAAGACAGTCAAGTGTGTGCTGGCACAGGAAGGACCTCATCAGAGGTGTGTGTAGGGGAGTGTTGTGCTATCTACCCCTTAGTTTGTGCAAGAATGGGCTTGTGCCACAATCTGGAAGCCCCCCAGGTCCAGTCTGTGTTGGTGGTGACGCATTTCCGAGGAGAGGTCTTGTATCCCTTTTCCACCCACCACAGCAATGGCAGTTGAGCCCTGGCTTTGTGCTGGGTAAAGTTGAAAGAGATTTCGGAGAAGAAAAGATGTGGTATAGTCATTGACTGGGATGCAGAACTTTATTGAAGGAAAAAAAATGGAAAGCAAGGTCGTCTGAGGTGCAATAGGGTGACCATCAGCAGAGGTCCCTTCGGGGCAGTAGACTTTTCCAGAGCACCACAGTCTTCCTACCCTACAGTTGGAGCAGCCCGCCAGAGGTCCCCAGTGGGCTTTGGCTTTGTAGAAGGTGCCTGCGGCAGAGAGTCGTGGACATAGCAGGAAGGCGGATGCAAAGAAGACAGTTGGAGAAAAAGAGGAGGTACGTGGGCAATGTTTCCAGGAAACCTGGGCTGCCCCTTCACTGCTTCCATGTTTGGTGCTTAGAGAGGAGGAGCCGTGGATGGCGAGCCCATTTGCTGGCAACAGCCCGGAGCTGCGTCCTCAATCGATGCCGTGGCTTCCAGGGTGTGGGTGGTTGGTGTCAGGGGTGGTGGTGAGGGCCCTTAGCAGGGGTAGCAGCCCCTTCTGGCGCCGAAGCAGCCCAGGCCGCCCAAGCCGTAGCCGTAGCCGAAGCCGAAGCCTCCGGAGGAGACGGGCACTCCCTGGGAGCTGAGGACGTTGCCCACGGCAGCCGATGAGGAGGATCCGACGGCGGTGCTCTGGGGGAAGGAGCTGAGGATGGGTCCTGGCAGGGTGACGAGCACGGCGGGAGGCTGGATGACGACGCGGGAGTCCTCGCACTGCCTGACACAGGGCTCGTTGCAGCTGTTAGCCAGCGGGGTGGGTCCGCAGGGGCGGCAGAGGTCGGAGCAGGCCATGGCTGTGGTGTGGAGGGGCCCTGGAAGAGATGGGGGTGAGAAAGCGGAGGGGCGGTGGTGCAGGAGGGCGAGGGAGTGGGGAGGCGTGGTGTGGGGCTGTGGGGAGCGTGGCTGCGGGGAGGCGTGAGGGCTGCTGAGGCTGGGGCCAGCAGAGCGTGCTGGAAGAGCCGGGCCAGGCAGGCCAGGAGAAGGAGGGGAAGGGGGTTGAGGCTCACCTTGTTGAGCGCGGAGGAGAAGGCGTCAGGAGAAGGGTGTGAGGGAGAGAGGCGCTGGGCCGGCTTTTATGCGGGTGCCCAAGGGGCGGGACAGCCTTTGCGCGTGACGGCATTTTGCAGCAGGCGGCTCTTGTGTGCCACGACCTCGCCAATAATGAGGTGGGGTGTGTTTCCCTTCCCGCAAACCTCTGTTTCGTGTCCTTCTCTTGAGGACGTGTACTCGTGACACTGGAGGCAACTTTTAAGTGCGAGTAATAGAGGAAAATTGCATTAATGTTGGTTCTTTGTGTCAGAGCATTTGCTAGATGTTGCCGAAATGTAGATGTGCTTGTCAACAATGAGGTCAACCCAATGCATTCATGTGTTGTGGCTTGCGGTATGTTGTGTAATGGGGTCTCCAGTTCCTCACAGCCCTGGCAAACTGGTCTGGTCTTTGCATTTTTGTCAGGCACAAGGCATTGACCCTGCCATGGCGTTCAGTCCCTCCCCTCCTCACTGCCAGCTCACTAAGCCTCTCTTTAGACCCGGCCTTTCCTGTCAGCTGCTCTGTGTGTGTCCTGTTGCCCCTCTGGCTTGTTAGGCTGTGGCTGGGAGGAAGGCGGCTGCCTGTTTGGGCTTGCAGCCCCTTGGGGCTGTCCCTGGGGGTGGCAGTGCCAGCAGGCAGAGGAGGGCTGTTTGCGAGAGCAGGCCGTTGGCCTGGCAGCCCTGGTTCAGAGCTGGCAAGCCCTGTGCTGTCGGGAGGCCTGCCCTGCTCCCCAAAGGCTTGGGTTGGCCCCTCCGGAGCAATCGCCTCGGCAAGGGCTGGTAAGTTTTCAGCCTGGGCTCTGGTGTCATGTGTCCAAAAAAGAGCAAGAAAGCTGGTGAAGAGTCTAGAGAAGAACAATGAATGGGGAATGCTTCAAGCAACTTGGCTGCTTTAGTTTCCCGAAAAAGAAAGTTGTGCAGGGATGTTATTTCTCTGTACAACTGCTTGAATGAAGGTTGTACGGAGGTGCCTGTCAGTCTCTTATTTCTAGTAACGAGAGATAGAGGAGGAAACAGCCTCCAGTTATGTCCAGGGAGCTTTGCATTGGATATGAGGAACAATTTGTGCACCTAGAGTGTCATCACGCCCAGCAGGACATGCTGGGGGTAGAAAGGCTGGAAAGCAGCTTTTCTGAACCCTGCTTTGTGTTGCTGCTTGGGAGAACGAGCTGACTGCAAGGTATCATTGTGCTGTCATGTCTGAAGGGGACAAGTGTCTCCAGGGTGTCGTTGGGAAGAGCATTGGCAGGAGGTTGGGGAGGTGATCCTGTACTCTCTGCAGGGCTGGTGAGGTCCCATGTGGAGTCCTGTGTCCATTGAGGGCGCCCCCATGGAAGAAGGACATGGACTTAGTGGAATAAGTTAAGTGCTGGGCCACCCAGATGCTGAGAGTAGTAGAGCATCTTTACTATGAGGGGAAGCTAAATGATCTTGGCGGGTTTTCAGGCATGAGTCAAGGCCATGCTGGGAAGATGTCATCAGTGTGTCGAAATCGCAGGTGGGAGGGCAGAAGGGCAGAGGAGTGAGAATCCTCGTATGGGTGCCCATGGACAGTGCAAAGGTGAATGGAGAAGGCTGAAAAGATGTGCCATTTCCTTGGAAGGGAAGGCAACCCTTTTTTGGTGTGAGAGTGGTCAAAGAGTGAAACTGGTTGTGCAAAGATGTGCTGAATTCCCATGCCTGGAGACACTGAAAACCTGTGTGGACGTGTTTATGGACATCGTGCTCGATCTGGCCATGCTTGAGGAGGTTGGGATGGAGACGTTGAGCTCCGGAGGTTGCTTGCACTCTCAGTGATTCTTTTTGCCGTGTTTCTCTTTGCTGTGATGGCCAGAGTTGTGATGAGCAAGGGAGTGGGTCAGTGGGGAGCAGAATGAAGCCCTCATAGTTCAACGGAGATGGTTAGCGACCTGCTAGAGCGCTTGGACATGCACAAGTGTGTGGGAACAAAATGATCCACCCATGGGCATTGAAGGAGGTGTTGGATGTGCTCTGCAAGCCACTTTCAAGCACTTCTCAGCACTCCTTGGCTAACCGGGTAGGTCCCAGCTGCCTGGAGATTAGCAAAAGTGAGGCTCATGTGCAAGAAAGGCTGGATCGAGGATGTGGGGAACTACAGTCCTGTGAGTGTGACCTCAGTGCCAGGCAAAGATATGGAGCAGATCATCTCGAGAGCCTTCACTCGGCACCTACAGGGCAACCAGGTGATCAGGCTCGGTCAGCATGGTTTTATGAAAGGCAGGTCCTGCTTGACTATCCTGATCTCCGTCAGTGAGAGGAGAGGAGAGGCGTTGGGTGTTCTTTCCCTGCAAGTTAGTAAAGCACTTGATGCTGTTTCCTACATCATTCTCCTGGAGAAACTAGATGCTCATGGCTTGGACTGACATACTGTTTGCTTGGTAGAGAACGGCTGGATGTTTGTGCCCTAAGAGTTGTGGTGAATGGAGTTAAATCCAGTTGGTGGCCAGTCACAAGTGGAGTTGCCCGTGGCTGAGAGTTTGAGCCAATTTTCTTGAATAGCTTTATCAGTGATCTGGAGGAGGGGATAAAGTGCACCCTCAGTAACATTGCAGACATCAGCTAGTTGGGTGGGAGTGTCGATCCAGTAACAAGTGACACGATGAAAGGAAAAGGCCTCCAGTTGTGCCAGGGGAGGGTTAGATTGGATATTAGGAAACATTTCTTCACTGAAAAGTTACGAGGCATTGGAACTGGGTGCCTTTAGAATTAGTTGAGTCACCATCCCTGGAGTTATTTAAATGCTGTGTCGATGTGTTGTTCAGGGATGTGGATTAGTGCTGGACTTGGTAGCATTAGATTAACGGTTGGACTTGGTGATTTTAAGAGGCACTTCCATATAATTTGTTTTATGGTGGTGTGTGTTGTTGTAGTTGCTAAGGTCATACTCGATAGGTGAGGTCTTGCAGCCCATTTCCACTCAGCCCAGTGGGTTCCTGAGCCCTGTCTTTGTGCTGGGTGAGGTTGGAAGAGCCTTGGGAGAAGAAAGGAAGTGGAGGAATTTCAAGCGGGGATGCAGGAGAATTTTATTGAGAGAAAAAACCAGGGAGAATGCAGGATCGCCGAGTGGAAGGGAGCTGGTCTGATGGAGAAGTACGGCGACCATCAACCAAGGTCCCTTGCATGCCGTAGATCACCCAGCTGTTCCTGTTCTGCAGTGGGAGCATCCCACCAGAGGCCTTGATGGCATTTCTCTGCTGAGAAGGTGTTTGCAGCGGAGAATATTGGACATAGCAGGAGTGGCGATGCAAAGAAGACAGTTGGAAAACAGGAGGAGGCACATGGGTCAAGTTTCCAGGAAACCACAGCTACCCCATCCTTGCTTCCTTATTTAATGCATAGAGAGGAGGAGCCGTTGATGTTGAGCTCGTGTGTCAAGGGCCCTTAGCAGGGGTAGCAGCCCCTTCTGGCACCGAAGCAGCCCAGGCCGCCCAAGCCGTAGCCGTAGCCGAAGCCGAAGCCTCCGGAGGAGACGGGCACTCCCTGGGAGCTGAGGACGTTGCCCACGGCAGCCGATGAGGAGGATCCGACGGCGGTGCTCTGGGGGAAGGAGCTGAGGATGGGTCCTGGCAGGGTGACGAGCACGGCGGGAGGCTGGATGACGACGCGGGAGTCCTCGCACTGCCTGACACAGGGCTCGTTGCAGCTGTTAGCCAGCGGGGTGGGTCCGCAGGGGCGGCAGAGGTCGGAGCAGGCCATGGCTGTGGTGTGGAGGGGCCCTGGAAGAGAGGGGGGTGAGAAAGCGGAGGGGCGGTGGTGCAGGAGGGCGAGGGAGTGGGGAGGCGTGGTGTGGGGCTGTGGGGAGCGTGGCTGCGGGGAGGCGTGAGGGCTGCTGAGGCTGGGGCCAGCAGAGCGTGCTGGAAGAGCCGGGCCAGGCAGGCCAGGAGAAGGAGGGGAAGGGGGTTGAGGCTCACCTTGTTGAGCGCGGAGGAGAAGGCGTCAGGAGAAGGGTGTGAGGGAGAGAGGCGCTGGGCCGGCTTTTATGCGGGTGCCCAAGGGGCGGGACAGCCTTTGCGCGTGACGGCATTTTGCAGCAGGCGGCTCTTGTGTGCCACGACCTCGCCAAGAATGAGGTGGGGTGTGTTTCCCTTCCCGCAAACCTCTGTTTCGTGTCCTTCTCTTGAGGACGTGTACTCGTGACACTGGAGGCAACTTTTAAGTGCGAGTAATAGAGGAAAAATGCATTAATGTTGGTTCTTTTTGTCAGAGCGTTTGGTAGATGTTGCCAAAATGTAGATGTGCTTGTCAACAGTGAGGTCATCGGGATGCATTCATGTTGTGGCTTTGGGTGTGTTGTGAAGAGGGGTCTCCATTTCCTCGCAGCCCTGGCAGACTGGTTTGGGATTTGTAGATTTGCCAGACACGAGGGACTGATCCTACCATGACGTTCCGTCCCTCCCCGCCTTATGCCAGCTTGCTAAGCGTGTCTTTAGGCCTGGCCTTCCCCGCTGGCTGAGATCCATGAGGTTGCCTGCCCCTCGGTCTTGTAAGGCTGTGGCTGTGAGAAAGACGGCTTCCTTTTTGAGCAGTTCCTGATGGCTGGAAGAGAGCTTAAAGGCCTGATCTATTGAAGCAGACAAGGATGGAAGATTTGGGAAAGTAGAAACTGTTGAGACTGGCCTTGCTCCTGTGGCAGGTGATGTTGGAAATCCTCCCAGAAAGCACTGTCAGTCCCAGGAAGGACAAGAAGCTGGTGCGGATCTGTCAGTGTGGATTTACAAAGGGGAAGTCACAGTTGACCGACCTCCATGTCCTCTATATTGAAGTGACTCTCTTGGTGGACAAGGATGAGAGCCGTGGCTGGTGTTTACCTCACCTTTTTTCGTTAAGCTTTGACGCTTTCCCCCCTTGCATGTTCCTAAACACACTGAGAAAGTATTGGTTGCGAAAGTGGCTGAAGGGCTGGGCGCAGTGGCTTGTGATGAATGTCCCAAAGTCCAGATGCAGGCAAGTCTCAAATGGCGTAGCCCAGGACTGGCATCTATGGGGCCAACACTGTTCAACATCCTCATCAGTGACGTGGTCAGAGACAGCGTGCTGCCTCAGCAAGTTATCAGATGATGCAAAACCTGGAAAAGAGCCTAAGCCAAGGGATGTTTGTGCTGCCGTTCTGAGGGAGCTGGAGAGGCTGGAGAATGGGGCAAGAGGTAATCTCTGGAAGTTCTAGAGGCAGAAATGCAAAGGTCTGCATCTGTGGCGTGAATAGCGCTGGGCAGCAGGGCATGCTGGGGGCAGAGAGGCTGGCAAACAGCTTTCCTGAACCCTGCTTTGTGTTGCTGGTGGAGAATGACCTGACTACGAGGCATCACTGTGCCATTACGGCAAAATATGCCAAGTGTCCCCAGGGCATCATTGGGAAGAGCGTTGCCAGGAGGTTTGGGGAGGTGATCCTGTACTCTCTGCAGGGCTGCTGAGGCCCCACATGGAGTCCTGTGTCCATTGAGGTCTCCCCCGTGGAAGGAGGACATGGATTTAGAGGAACAAGGTGAGTTCAGGGCCACTGAGACTCTGAAGAGTGTAGAGCATCTTTACTATGTGGGGATAAGCTAAGAGATCCTGGAATTTTTTCAGGCAGGAGTCAAGGCCCTGGGAATTGGTTGAGTGACCATCCCTGGAGGTATATAAATGATGTGTAGATGTGCTGTTTAGGGACATGGTTTAGTGGTGGACTCGGTAGTGTTAGGTTAACGGGTGGAATCGATGATCCTAATGGCCTTTTCCAACCTAAATGACTCTATGCTGTTCTCTATTGTTGCTGCTGCTGCAGACATACTTGATAGGGTAGGTCTTATAGCACCTTTCCACCCATGCCAGTGGGTTGCTGAGCTCTGCCCTTGTGCTGGCTGAGGTTGGAAGAGCCTTTGGAGAAGAAAGGAAGTGGAGGCATTTCAAGCTGGCATACAAGATAATTTTATTGAGAGAAAAAAACAGGGAGAATGCAGGAGCGCTGAGTGGAAGGGAGCTGGTGTGAGGTAGAAGTGCAGTGACCATCATCCAAGCTCCCTTGAGTGCAGTACCCGTTCCAGAGCTCTGGGGTCTTCCTGCCATACAGTTTGGAGCAGACCAACAGAGCCTCCAAGTGGGCTGTGGATGGTGAGAAACTGTTTGCAGCAAAGAGCAGCAGACATAGTAGAAGGGGCGATGCAAAGACAGTTGGAGAAAAGGAGAAGGTACATGGGCCATGTTTCCAGGCAGCCCAGGCTACCCCATCCTTGCTTCCTTTTTTAATGCATAGAGAGGAGAGGCCGTTGACATCAAGCTCATGTGTCAAGGGCCCTTAGCAGGGGTAGCAGCCCCTTCTGGCACCGAAGCAGCCCAGGCCGCCCAAGCCGTAGCCGTAGCCGAAGCCGAAGCCTCCGGAGGAGACGGGCACTCCCTGGGAGCTGAGGACGTTGCCCACGGCAGCCGATGAGGAGGATCCGACGGCGGTGCTCTGGGGGAAGGAGCTGAGGATGGGTCCTGGCAGGGTGACCACCACGGTGGAAGGCTGGATGACGACGCGGGAGTCCTCGCACTGCCTGACACAGGGCTCGTTGCAGCTGTTAGCCAGCGGGGTGGGTCCGCAGGGGCGGCAGAGGTCGGAGCAGGCCATGGCTGTGGTGTGGAGGGGCCCTGGAAGAGAGGGGGGTGAGAAAGCGGAGGGGCGGTGGTGCAGGAGGGCGAGGGAGTGGGGAGGCGTGGTGTGGGGCTGTGGGGAGCGTGGCTGCGGGGAGGCGTGAGGGCTGCTGAGGCTGGGGCCAGCAGAGCGTGCTGGAAGAGCCGGGCCAGGCAGGCCAGGAGAAGGAGGGGAAGGGGGTTGAGGCTCACCTTGTTGAGCGCGGAGGAGAAGGCGTCAGGAGAAGGGTGTGAGGGAGAGAGGCGCTGGGCCGGCTTTTATGCGGGTGCCCAAGGGGCGGGACAGCCTTTGCGCGTGACGGCATTTTGCAGCAGGCGGCTCTTGTGTGCCACGACCTCGCCAATAATGAGGTGGGGTGTGTTTCCCTTCCCGCAACACTCCATTTCATGTCCTTTTCTGGAGGACGTCTCCTTCTGACCCTGGCGGCAACTTTTAAGTACAAATAATAGAGGAAACAGACTCAGTCTTGGTTGTGTTTGACAGAACATTTGGTAGATGTTGCCAAAATGTAGATGTGCTTGTCAACAATGAGGTCAACCCAATGCATTCGTGTGTTGTGGCTTGCGGTATGTTGTGTAATGGGGTCTCCAGTTCCTCACAGCCCTGGAAATCTGGTCTGTTCTTTGCAGTTGTGTCAGGCACAAGGCATTGACCCTGACATGGCGTTCAGTCCCTCCCCACCTCACCGCCAGCTCGCTAAACCTCTCTTTAGCCCTGGCCTTTCAGCTATCTGCTCTGTGTGTGTGTCTTGTTGCCCCTCTGGCTTGTTAGGCTGTGGCTGGGAGAAAGGCGGCTGCCTGTTTGGGCTTGCAGCCCCTTGGGGCTGTCCCTGGGGGTGGCAGCGCCAGCAGGCAGAGGAGGGCTGTTTGCGAGAGCAGGCCGTTGGCCTGGCAGCCCTGGTTCAGAGCTGGCAAGCCCTGTGCTGTGGGGAGGCCTGCCCTGCTCCCCAAAGGCTTGGGTTGGCCCCTCCGGAGCAATCGCCTCGGCAAGGGCTGGTAAGTTTTCAGCCTGGGCTCTGGTGTCATGTGTCCAAAAAAGAGCAATAAAGCTGGTGAAGTGTCTAGAGAAGAACAATGAATGAGGAATGCTTCAAGCAACTTGGCTGCTTTAGTTTCCCGAAAAAGAAAGTTGTGCAGGGATGTTATTTCTCTGTACAACTGCTTGAATGAAGGTTGTATGGAGGTGCCTGTCAGTCTCTTATTTCTAGTAACGAGAGATAGAGGAGGAAACAGCCTCCAGTTATGTCCAGGGAGCTTTGCATTGGATATGAGGAACAATTTGTGCACCTAGAGTGTCATCATGCCCAGCAGGACATGCTGGGGGTAGAAAGGCTGGAAAGCAGCTTTTCTGAACCCTGCTTTGTGTTGCTGCTTGGGAGAACGAGCTGACTGCAAGGTATCATTGTGCTGTCACGTCTGAAGGGGGCAAGTGTCTCCAGGGTGTCATTGGGATGATCATTGGCAGGAGGTTGGGGAGGTGATCCTGTACTCTCTGCAGGGTTGGTGGGGTCCCATGTGGTGTCCTGTTCCATTGAGGGCTCCCCCATGGAAGAAGGACGTGGACTTAGTGGAATAAGGTAAGTGCTGGGCCACCCAGATGCTGAGAATAGTAGAGCATCTTTACTATGAGGGGAGGCTAAATGATCTGGGAAGGTTTTCAGGCATGAGTCAAGGCCATGCTGGGAAGATGTCATCAGTGTGTCGAAATTGCAGGTGGGAGGGCAGAAGGGCAGAGGATTGAGAACCTTCTTATGGGTCCCCATGGACAGTGCAAAGGTGAATGGAGAAGGCTGAAAAGATGTGCCATTTCCTTGGAAGGGAAGGCAACCCTTTTTTGGTGTGAGAGTGGTCAAAGAGTGAAACTGGTTGTGCAAAGATGTGCTGAATTCCCATGCCTGGAGACACTGAAAACCTGTTTGGACGTGTTTATGGACATCGTGCTCGATCTGGCCATGCTTGAGGAGGTTGGGATGGAGACGTTGAGCTCTGGAGATTCCTTGCACTCTCAGTGATTCTTTTTGCTGTGATTTTCTTTGCTGTGATGGCCAGAGTTGTGATGAGGAAGGGAGTGGGCCAGTGGGGAGCAGAATGAAGCCCTCATAGTTCAACGGAGATGGTTAGCGACCAGCTAGAGCGCTTGGACATGCACAAGTCTGTGGGAACAAAATGATCCACCCACGGGCATTGAAGGAGGTGTTGGATGTGCTCTGCAAGCCACTTTCAAGCACTTCTCATCACTCCTTGGCTAACCGGGTAGGTCCCAGCTGACTGGAGATTAGCAAAAGTGAGGCTCATGTGCAAGAGAGGCTGGATCGAGGATGTGGGGAACTACGCTCCTGTGAGTGTGACCTCAGTGCCAGGCAAAGATATGGAGCAGATCATCTCGAGAGCCTTCACTCGGCACCTACAGGGCAACCAGGTGATCAGGCTCGGTCAGCATGGTTTTATGAAAGGCAGGTCCTGCTTGACTATCCTGATCTCCGTCAGTGAGAGGAGAGACTTTGGATGTTCTTTCCCTGCAAGTTAGTAAAGCACTTGATGCTGTTTCCTACATCATTCTCCTGGAGAAACTAGCTGCTCATGGCTTGGACTGACATATTGTTTGCTTGGTAGAGAACCGGCTGGATATTTGTGCCCTAAGAGTTGTGGTGAAGGGAGTAAAATCCAGTTGGTGGCCAGTCACAAGTGGTGTTGGCCGTGGCTGAGAGTTTGAGCCTTCTTGAATAGCTTTATCAGTGATCTGGAGGAGGGGATAAAGTGCACCCTCAGTAACATTGCAGACATCAGCTAGTTGGGTGGGAGTGTCGATCCAGTAACAAGTGACACGATGAAAGGAAAAGGCCTCCAGTTGTGCCAGGGGAGGGTTAGATTGGATATTAGGAAACATTTCTTCACTGAAAAGTTACGAGGCATTGGAACTGGCTGCCTTTAGAATTAGTTGAGTCACCATCCCTGGAGTTATTTAAATGCTGTGTCGATGTGTTGTTCAGGGATGTGGATTAGTGCTGGACTTGGTAGCATTAGGTTAACGGTTGGACTCGGTGATCTTATGAGGCACTTCCATCTAAATTGTTTTATGGTGGTGTGTGTTGTTGTAGTTGCTAAGGACATACTCGATAGGTGAGGTCTTGCAGCCCATTTCCACTCAGCCCAGTGGGTTCCTGAGCCCTGTCTTTGTGCTGGGTGAGGTTGGAAGAGCCTTGGGAGAAGAAAGGAAGTGGAGGCATTTCAAGCGGGGATGCAGGAGAATATTATTGAGAGAAAAAACCAGGGAGAATGCAGGATCGCCGAGTGGAAGGGAGCTGGTCTGATGGAGAAGTACGGCGACCATCAGCCAAGGTCCCTTGCATGCAGTAGATCACCCAGCTGTTCCTGTTCTGCAGTGGGAGCATCCCACCAGAGGCTTGATGGCCTTTCTCTGCTGAGAAGGTCTTTGCAGCGGAGAATATTGGACATAGCAGGAGTGGTGATGCAAAGAAGACAGTTGGAGAACAGGAGGAGGCACATGGGTCATGTTTCCAGGAAACCGCGGTTACCCCATCCTTGCTTCCTTATTTAATGCATAGAGAGGAGGAGCCGTTGATGTTGAGCTCGTGTGTCAAGGGCCCTTAGCAGGGGTAGCAGCCTCTCCCGGCGCCGAAGCAGCCCAGGCCGCCCAAGCCGTAGCCGAAGCTGAAGCCGAAGCCTCCGGAGGAGACGGGCACTCCCTGGGAGCTGAGGACGTTGCCCACGGCAGCCGATGAGGAGGATCCGACGGCGGTGCTCTGGGGGAAGGAGCTGAGGATGGGTCCTGGCAGGGTGACGAGCACGGCGGGAGGCTGGATGACGACGCGGGAGTCCTCGCACTGCCTGACACAGGGCTCGTTGCAGCTGTTAGCCAGCGGGGTGGGTCCGCAGGGGCGGCAGAGGTCGGAGCAGGCCATGGCTGTGGTGTGGAGGGGCCCTGGAAGAGAGGGGGGTGAGAAAGCGGAGGGGCGGTGGTGCAGGAGGGCGAGGGAGTGGGGAGGCGTGGTGTGGGGCTGTGGGGAGCGTGGCTGCGGGGAGGCGTGAGGGCTGCTGAGGCTGGGGCCAGCAGAGCGTGCTGGAAGAGCCGGGCCAGGCAGGCCAGGAGAAGGAGGGGAAGGGGGTTGAGGCTCACCTTGTTGAGCGCGGAGGAGAAGGCGTCAGGAGAAGGGTGTGAGGGAGAGAGGCGCTGGGCCGGCTTTTATGCGGGTGCCCAAGGGGCGGGACAGCCTTTGCGCGTGACGGCATTTTGCAGCAGGCGGCTCTTGTGTGCCACGACCTCGCCAAGAATGAGGTGGGGTGTGTTTCCCTTCCCGCAAACCTCTGTTTCGTGTCCTTTTCTGGAGGACGTCTCCTTCTGACCTTCGCAGCAACATTTAAGTACAAATAATAGAGGAAACAGACTCAGTCTTGGTTGTGTTTGAGAGAACATTTGATAGATGTTGCCAAAATGTAGATGTGCTTGTCAACAATGAGGTCAACCCAATGCATTCGTGTGTTGTGGCTTGCGGTATGTTGTGTAATGGGGTCTCCAATTCCTCACAGCCCTGGAAATCTGGTCTGTTCTTTGCAGTTGTGTCAGGCACAAGGCATTGACCCTGCCATGGCGTTCAGTCCCTCCCCACCTTACCGCCAGCTCGCTAAACCTCTCTTTAGCCCTGGCCTTTCGGCTATCTGCTCTGTGTGTGTGTCTTGTTGCCCCTCTGGCTTGTTAGGCTGTGGCTGGGAGAAAGGCGGCTGCCTGTTTGGGCTTGCAGCCCCTTGGGGCCGTCCCTGGGGGTGGCAGTGCCAGCAGGCAGAGGAGGGCTGTTTGCGAGAGCAGGCCGTTGGCCTGGCAGCCCTGGCTCAGAGCTGGCAAGCCCTGTGCTGTGGGGAGGCCTGCCCTGCTCCCCAAAGGCTTGGGTTGGCCCCTCCGGAGCACTCCCCCGAGCCGGGGCTGGGAAATTTACAGTGTGGGCCGTGGCGTGATGCATC